CTGATATGATAAATATAAAATCATATTATTGCAGAAACTTAAATTTTTCTAACTTTTATTTTATATTATTAAATTGAACTTTAAATTCTATAGATCTTTTCAATAATCAATGCGATTTTGAGAATAAGAAAGTATTGACAAAGGTTTATATCTTTCAAATAATCAGTTATTTTTAATGGAGAAATAAAATTAAATCAATTACCAATTGACGTTAAGAAGTATTTATTTGGTAAATAATAAATTATTAATACGAATTTGATATTTTGTTTGCTATTTTTTTAGATTTTATGTCATTCCTTAGCTAGAATATTTGTTAATGTTATTTTCATAATTTAATGCTTTATTTTCAAGTTTGTAAACTTTTTCTTCATCTTTTTTAACACCAATTCCGTCTTTATAGCATTTTATAAGATGGTTCCTTGCAAAACTTTTGTATTCTGGAACATTTTTATAAAGATCATAATAAAATTCAAATGCTTTATAATTATCTTTAAAATCATCTAATCCTCTTTCAACATGTTCTGCCAACAATAATTTAATTTCACTAATTTTTTGTAGTTTACTACGATAAATATCAAAATAAAATTCAAAAGCTTTTTGGTAATCATTTTTATTATCAAAATACAATGCTAGCCAAATTTTGGCATTGTATTTGTATTTTGAGTCACTATTAGAAACTTGTGTATAAAGATCAAATGCTGCACTATAATTTTCAGAAATTCCTAAATTATTTTCATAGTGTTTTGCTAAATAAAATTTTGCATCATATTTGAATTTTGAATTTCTATTTGCAATTGAAGAAAAACAACTGTACGAGGTTTTGTAGTCTTTATTATTGTAAGCACGAACTCCTGTTTTAAACAGGCCCTCATACTCTTCATCAAGAGTTTTATGGTTTACTGACATCTTTTTTGAAATTCTTGATAGACTAAGAATGATTTTAATTTATAACGTATTTAAAAAGTAAATTTCAATTTATAATAGATATGTATAGAGTATTTTTAATTGTGACAAAGCTTAATTATATAAATTAAAAGAAAATATCTAATTACATTAATTCATATATTGTTTGATATTTTGATTTGATGTTTTGATTTGATAAAATATAATTTTAACTGTTAATTCTAAACAAATTGAAGCTTCCAAAGGAAATCATATACCTGTTGAAATTATTAGCATAATTTAGGTTTTTATTAAATAAAATTTTATTAATTGAATAACCCTAAGTTAAAATTATAAATCTTTCAATTTAATCAATGAATCGATTTTTTGCTTTATAATTTTTATTCAAAGTTGTTGCCATTCTTATATCATTAGCATTCTATTATCCATTATAGTGCTCTACAATCCACATTTACATTTACATGATAACATTTTATTTAATGCATAAATATTAATTGACTTATTTCAGTCCACTTTAATACATATATAGCTAATAATTAGCTATCGCTAGAGGTGTGAACTGTAAACTACTAGTTATAATAAAAAAAAAGTAAACTATGGTTTAATTATATGTATCTTTATCACCATCCTGTTTATGTTTTTTTTTAACTTTCTCTCAATATAGAATGATCCTGGTTTTCAATCTTGTTTAATGCATTTAGAACTATTAATATCATCATTACTAAAGAAGAATGAAACAAATGCAAAAGAAACACGTACATACAAAGAATGAATAGCAATAGTGAATTTGTATATGATAATATGTAATATAAATAAAGATACTGATATAATTTGCTAATGGCAGAACTACATATTCTGGTAAGATCTGTTTTTTTTATAAATATAAACATGTTTCTTTTTGTTATAGTTTACAGAGAGTTTAAGTTGTTCAAAGTGGTGTTGATGTAAGTGATTAATGAAAGACTATTGCAATATGTTAAGAATTCATTGAAACATGAAGTGGCTTTAGCAAGAGAGGCAGGAAATCTTTTTTGCAGAATTTTAACTTGTATTGGTATTCTTTATTTATCTTGCTACTTAGCAATTATATATTAATATTTTAATATTTTATGATCCTGGTTAGCTTAATATTTTTTTTGCAAATCAAATAGTTAAAAGTCACTCGTGTCTTTAAACAAAAGTTTAATGATAATAAGTTATCAAATTGGTACTGCCTGATAAGGAATTTATCTGGTGGCTTACTATCACTATGATTTTTTGCCTAATAATAAAATTATCAGGCAGAGGCAATAGTTTAAACTATTTAATTTATTATTGGGTAGACAAATCATAGTAAGTATACGAAATTTAAGTGTATATTTTTATTTATTGCACTTAAAGTTTATGATTATTTTTTATTTTTTAATTGGTCAAACACTTACATGTGACTTTGGATATTTTTTATTTATTGTAATAAAAATTTAATATCTTCCAATTCTTAACAAGTTGATAAACATATTTTTTGATCTGCAGTACTAAATTTTATCAGCTCATCCCTTTATATTTCTTTACCATTTCTGAGGCTTTATCTTTAAGCTTAGAACTTTTTCTTTTAGAAATCTGGTTAAAAATATTTAATGCATAGTCGTATTCTTTTTTATTGGCAAGTTCTATTGCAAACTCAAAAGCTTTTGTTTCATCTTTTTTTATATACCATCTATAAAGATAGTATTTAGCAGCAAAATATTTAGCTTGAGACTTGATAGTGGGTTCTTTACAACTAAGTAGATCTTTAATTACTTCCTACGCTTTTTGATATTTTGTTTCTCTTTTATACTTTGAAACTTGTGCAAGGTTAATAGCTTCAATCTTAAATTCTGTCTCATTCTTAAATATTTCTTCTGGATCTTTACTTATTTTTTTAAAATTTTTGGATATTATTGTTTTTATTCTCATGAGTAAAAAGAATATTTTGTATTTATATACTTATAACAAAAAAATGAATGTGGCAATTAGAAATAAAACCAAAACACAATAAAAATTTTAAATTATATTCATTAGAATTAGTAAATTCAGTTGTAAATTAAATAATTTGGTAATATAGATTTATAATATTAAACATAATTAATATTGTTACTTAGAATATTTGAATTAAATGCAATAAAGTAACTTCAATTTAAATGACCTGTAATTCTGGTGAATATAACTTTTTCTAGTAAATTAATTCGCAATCTGGTATTCAATAAAGTAAATATCGATGCAAATAGAGTATAACTTATAAAGCTATAAAAAACAATTCATATATTTATTAAATTACTCTACATGATAGGTTTCGTATTATGTCTTTTATAAACTATTAAATTAATTGGTAAAGCAAAACTAGCAAAACTCAAAACATTTGTTTGATTAATCAATTGAAAATTTTTAAAAAACAATACAATGTTTTAACTAAATAGCAATTCAAAGAAATAATCTACTACTATTAAAATCAATTTATGGAAATCCTTGTTTGAGTCAATTTAAATTACAATTGAGCTAGTCAGACTCATCAACTCGTACTTGAGTTTGTCATGATCCGATATAATTTTTAATTCGTGAGTAGATTACATATATTAACAAAAGTTGGAAATCAACTTTCCTTTACTGAAATATATTTGCCTTTGTAACTCGAATAATTTGAGTACTCTTTGAGTTTAATTCTTGAATCATGAGTTAGCATGAGTCCAATCACTAGCTCAGAATTCATGATCCTTTATTTAAAGATTGGTGTTTTTTTATTATTCATCCTGTATATTTATTATTTGATCAATTATATAGTGTTGTAAATATTAAACAAAAAGAAGCATATATGTAAAAGGGTGGCATTAAATTTAATTCAATAGAATACAATAATTGTTTTATTGAACAATTTTATTTGTTCTTTAAAAAGTATTACACTTAAATACATTTAAAAGTAAATTGAATCAACAGTATCATAATTGAATTTATAACAATATATAAAATAAAAATAAAATATTTTATTTAACATTATCTCTTAGAATCTTCAGGCTTTGATCGATGAGGACCTATATATTAAATATATAAAAATGATAGAAAACAAATTTGCATAAAAAGCAACAACTTAACTAAAGACTTACTGACAAAGCAATCACTCTTATAATCAAAATTTTAAGCTTACAGTAATTAGTAATGCTGGATAGAACTTTAATTGTAAAGATTTCCTGCATAATAACATATCGATCAACAGATATCATCCTTTTAATCACAATATCAAATCCTTTTGTTGATGCTCCAAAGATTTGAAAATTTTTAGGTAATGAACGCCCTTTTTCTTTCTCTTGACTAACAATATAATTTATATTATTTTGCATTTGTTTACTTAATTTGGCAAAATCATTTTTGATCTTTTTCTGAATCTTATTTATTAGACTTCCAGCAACCTTTAAAGTGAAGATCTCATAATTCGAATAATTTTGCACAGTAAAGTCTGGTCTAGTTCCATTTGCAGATTCCTGAGAATTTTGGAGTTTATTATGTTTTGATGATATTGATGCTGAATTCCTATAAAGAAATTCTGGTAAAATTTCCTAAAAAAATTGCAGAGTAACAGTGCATACATTACTTACCAACTAGTTTAAGAACTATCTATATCTGCTAATATATCGATACATGATTCTAAAACCTCTGTACAAAATTTTAGTTCAGATATTTTTAATGAAAAATAATCACCTTTTCTGAATTTTTTAAGACTAATCAATTTATTATTTAACCAATTATTAGAATAATTCTACAAGTTTTTAATGATAAGATCTATAATATACATTACAATTTTTGTACAGTATCAAAAATAAAAGTAATTTGCCATTCTTTTAAAGTTTTAATTCCCAAATTTACTAATTTCTGTTTCTGTTCCACTTTCTTGAATATATTTTTGGCATTAAGGATCTAAACATTATTAATTATTAATCAAAGTTATCAAATCAAAGAAAGAAATAGCAGTGCATTAATATTATCTCTTTATCCGGCATTGATATAATCATGTGAATTTTTTTTGCCTTGATATTTTTTGCATGATATTATGTAATCATTTATGCAAAAATATCACAGAAAAAAACATCACATGGTCATATCTAACTGCCGGATAACATCAATATTGGGCATACTCAAATAACAAAAAATTTTTTCATCAGAGTTTAATGTCACTCATGCGCTGCTACACAGCACATGGGATGACATTAATTTCACTAAAAAAAATTTTCTGTTATTTTTCATCGTCTACCCAATATTGTATACTTAGTTTCCTCTTCACCCTTAAAAATAGAAAATATATTATCTAAATATCCATTGACCTCTTCATCTACTTCTATATTTGCAGGTGAAAACAAATTCCTCAAAAAAATGAGTTTCATTTTTTTGCAATAAGTTGCTTAATCGACTAATATCCAAAATATAGCCCTTAATAAATCTTTTTTAGAAAAAATTAGAATATTGAATAATTAACAAACATTTTTATATACATTAATAATACCTATCATTTTCTGTCTTTTTACGTAAACAGTTCTATATGTTGAAGATAGTAGTGCTTTGTTTAGAAGGAATGAAAACAATCACAGAAGAATAGTCATTTAAAATATGGTTTGCTTTTTTACGGCATCTTACTGGGTATTTTTTATTTTTGCTAATCGCTCTCAAGGAGCTTATCCAAATTTCTTCACTGCATTTTTCAGTTGTCAAGAATTTGAGAAATCCATCATAACTCCACTTATTTATGTCAACCTCCCTAAAATAGTCATCTACTTCTGGCATTCTAAAAATAAAGAAAATATAGTAAAAATAATGCATATAACCTATTATTTCGATTAATTTACTAATATAATTTTCTCAGAAATTGAATTAATAAACTACTGCACAACATTCTTTGAGCTCAACTAAAACTGCTGCACAGTGTTCTTTGAATTTTAGATGAATTGAACGATAGACCACTAAACTGTTACGCAGCATTATTAAACTGCTGCATAACGTTCCTCGGTCTAATGGACAAAGCATCCAACATCATTGAATCGTATAACGCAATTTAATTCATAAAGTTTTTACCTAGCGAATGTTTTCAACGCCAATAATGAAGAATCATATTATATATATATATATTTGAAATATTCTCAGGAAATAATAAAAAACAAGAATTATGCATGTTTTTTTTCAATATCTATGCGAAAGAGGAATGAAGATTTCCGTATATATTAATCTTTATGCAATGCATATTGATATAAGGGATAGAATTAAATTTGGTCATGATTTACGATGGAATATATCACTTAATTTCATGTGCTGTGCAAAAATTACGTTTTTGATGCATTGTATTTTTACAAAGCCATTATTGGTTATTACCTTTACTTTAAGCCTTATTTCATAAAATTAT